TATCTCTTCGCTAGTGTTTTAGTCTCGTCTCCGAGATAGAATAGGCATAGCGCGGCTACGATAACTACGGCTCTCTAGCCGACCTACCCGTAGAAGTAATCGAGAGCTTCTAGGTAGCCGCGGTAATGCTCGTTCTAATCTAGTTTAGAGTAATAATACACACGGCACTTAAAGTAGTACTCTACTCGAGGTAGCTAAGTATCGGGAAGTAGTAGCTTATAGTCGTCTAGAAGGTGTATCTTTAGTAGGCTTATGTTAACGAATTCGGCGTTATAACTATCCCACCTATAGCTATTTCGTAATAAACGGATATAGTAGGCGAGATAATTCGCCCGTAATTTCCGCGAGCGGCCGGATAGCGTAGGTCTTTTATATACGACCTAACGATAGCCCGGCTCGTTGTCTATAAGATTACCTTATAGCTTTTCGTACTACTTAGTAGCTTCCTTAGCGAGATAACACCTAAGAAAGTAGAGGTTACTAGAGCGAACGTCTTTATATTAGGAACTATTAGGGTTAGTTAAAAACATATATAGGGAAATAATAAGTACTTACTCCGTTAGCTGCTAGCTATATAGCGAACACGTAATTTTCCCTTCGAATTCGGTATAGCTAGCGTATAGGTAGTGCTATTTAATCCGTTTAGGCGCGGCTATCGAGATTAGAGGCTTAAGCATATCCTCGAGCTTAGCTCTACCCTCTACGGGATAATAGAATAGCTGTATAACGTTAGCTCGCGTAATATTATAACGAGTATAGGCCTAGAAGGCTCGGCTAGAAGGTAGACGTTACGACTAGGGCTCTAGGATTAAATCTATAGCCTTAGGAACTAGTTTTGCCTATAATAGGAGGCATTGTCTAGCCTCTAAGTACATCTTTTTTTCCTCTAGGTACTACGCTCGATACCGCCGGCCCTTAGACGTATCCGTAAAGCGTAAGCCGAGCGGGCGCGGAGTCTATAAATCTAATCGCTTAGATATCGAAGTTAAGAACTCTATTATCTCTTCGTCCGGCGGACGCTCGTACATTATCGCCTATATATTAACACTAGATACGGAAGACAGGTAGTACTAGAAGGTATTATCGCTTATATAACCTATACGTTATCTACGAACAGCGGAGGTAACAGTTTCTATAGGCCTATTAGCCCGCTTTTAATATTAGACCCTCTTTTAGGGCTTACTGTTTAGTATATTGCTATGCCCCCGGCGTAGAGTATACGGAGTAAAACGATCCTCGTAACCTACCCGCTCTCCTAGGTCCGTTATTAGTATGCTAGTGTAGTAGGTAAGTGCAATTCTTATAGGCGATATTGCTCTATTACGCTATAGACTACGGAGAAGGGGAACCTCTACTATTTCCGGTCGGATACTAATTATAAAGTTAGTATTAACTAGCGGATTAATTCGCTTAAAGTTAGCTAAGATTCGAATCCCTTAGAGAGCATTATCGGTAATCGCAAGTGCTAACGTCTAGATAATAGGGTAGAGGTGCGGTTCCCTCTTATCCTCTAGAAGGGGCAGCTCTAAGCTACTTATAATTAGACTTAGTCGTGCCTATATGTAATAGTCGTGTCTTACTCGTATTTCTCTTACTCTCGGCGAAATTTCTAATTTCTAATCTTAAATAAAACCGCTACGCTCCGCTCGCCCTTTCGATTAATAACGTATACCGTTAGATCTTTATATAATATCCCTTCGTTAGAGCCGACGTACGTAGAGCTCTCGAGAAGCTCGCCCGGCCGGATTCTAAGGTAGAACAAGATTAGCATTAATACTAATAGCTATAGCCTAATTCGCGGATACTCGAGCTCCTTCTCGTCTAAAGCCTATAGGAAATAGAGCATATCGAATACTATAGCTAGGCCTACGACTAGGCGATTACGGACCTTCTACGAAGCGCCTTTTTAAATAAGCCTAATTTGAATTGCTCTATTAATTTTCTTAATAGTCTTCGCCGATACCCTAAAGTTGCTCCGTTTATAGATAAGACGTACGAGTAAGCCGAACTGTTTCTTAAGGGTAACTACGCTAAGCTTCGCGCTAATTATGCTAACCTTAGTCGTAAGTAGCTACTAGAGAAATGCTATAAATTCACCTTCGTTTAGTGTACTCGGGAACGGTCTTTTAACGTCGACTTTACGCCCGAGGAACTTATAGAAGGCTACCTAGTCGCGCGATATCCTAGCTATAGCGTTAAGGTAGTACTACTTAGAGGTGTTCTACGTTATTAGTTAGAAGTCGCTAGATGTATTAGCTAATACTCGAATTTCTTCTAGGGCATCGTCTATAGTAGTAGTAGGCTTACCGATAAGATAATATAGAGTGCTTTAGTAATAGGAGACTAAGAGATCGAACAAATAGACGGTAGGTAGCGAGAGGAGACGATATAGTTAAAAGATTTAGCGGCTAAGTGCTTACGTCTATACGCTTACTATATATACTACGCCTAGGTACCGGTATCGCCGTCGCTTAGTAATAGGATATAACGAGCTTAGTAGACTAGCGAGAGGGAGCCCTCTCGATGCTATATAGCGATATATAAAGCGTAGGATATTAGGTAACCGCTAGAGGGAAGTCGGAAAGTAGAATCTAGTACTAGTATGTCGGACTTCGGACACCCTAAGGTCCGCTATACGTCGGCACTAGCTATAGTAGTATCGAGTTACGTACGGGCGGGCCCTACAATAATAATCCCGCTCTGATTTTTATCGGGACGTAGAGGGCGGAAAGCAAGCCATCCCGTCCGCTCTAGCCTATTAAACCATGTAATCGTTTAATTAGTACTCAGGTGGGTGACCACTGGGGAATCCCAAATGTTGAATGTATAATATCTTTTTGTTTTGCCCTCCCTATGGAACGAAACTGAGTGAGATTTTTGCAAGGCTTGGCGTCGTGCTGCGGCTAGCGGCCCGCTGCTATACAAAGCATAATGTTATTCGCCAAACGGGAACAAGCTAACATCGCGTAGAGATTGAAGGCTCGAGACCATTCGTTGGGCTCGCGGGCGACGAATGCCATCATCAAAGGGAGATCAACGATGAAACGCTGTAGTTAAGTTAGGCTTCATGTCTCGTTTCGATTTGTTCTTCGTCGTGCTCGATGAGTTTAACGAACAAATTGCTTCTGTGATCGCAAGTTGCCAATGATTCCGACGAAGCTCTATTGCTAATCATACAAGTCTTCAATCTCCAGGCCCTTGGAGTGCATCATCCAAGTTAAAGATGTGAATGTCATGAAGCGGACAGAATACCATGCGAATCCCCAACAGCGTTTGTCGCCCAATAGTCCTGCGTTCCCAATGGATTATCCCAATTCAACCCATCACTCATCAAAGTCGGATCAACAGACTCAAACAGCGAGTCAAAGATATGTAAGCTAGACATTCTTTCCTGCAGCCAGTCGAGCGCCTGGGATAAATGAGTCTCCAACGCCGCGCTGATAGCGACATCCGGAGACTGGCCGGCTATGGAAGCRTCGATTTGAGCTTTGAGTCCTGCGCAAAGTATAAAGGCGTCGATATTAGGTTTCCCAAATCTAATGCGTTTGGAGAGTAGATCCAGAAGTTTGTCAAAGGCTTTTCGAAGGGGTCCTTGTCCCTCATACCCAGAAATGTAAGAGAAATTCGGACTGCCACCTTCGAGTTGGCCTAGAAGTTCGGCGCCTATAATGGAAGCTGCTAGAATGGGCGTGCTGTCGAATATTCCATTCCCCATTGACATGGCGCGGGTGTAATCGTCGTCATCGGATTCGAGGCAGCGGTCGAGGATTGAGAGGGCCGTCTCCAATCCCATCTTACGCGAGAAATATAAAGTCGGATCCAGGTTGGCTCTGAGGGCGAATGGAGCATGGAGAGCCAAGAGGAATCGATGCATGAGCATGTCCATTAACCGATCCGCGAATCTCAACGACTGATGCTTGGTTTCCCCGTCGAATGGAACGCAATGAGTATTGTAATGCGAGCTGAGCTGCACGCTGAGCTGCAGTGCCTCTTTATATGAGCCTTCGGTATGAGGATCATTGACGAAGCACGCGATTTCCAGACGCACAGGGAAAGACTTCATCAAGGCGATCTGATGGGAAGTATGTGTGAGTCTGTCTGCTGGCTTGGGCTCGGGGGATATTGTCGTCTGCTCATCAAACTGCTCGTCGGCTACGTTGAGGGGAAGATCAAAGTCCACTTCATGCGTCGACATAATCGGTGGGACTCCAAGGGCCATACTGGACTGCAGGGTCAGCTCCAAGACGGTCGCCCACAGTCGTCTGCGAATTTCCTGCTCGTAGAAGGACCTCTTTGGTCCCAGTCGACCATCAATGTGAAGCCCAATCTTCGTGGCCACTCGCCATAGACAGTCCGCGGAGATGCCAGCTAGATCTGCGCCAGCGGCAATTGGATTCACCTGCCGTGCAAGCAGTATCAAACAGAGTGTTTGTAAGCCTTTGATACTGGCTCGACTCTTCTCTTCGAGAAGTCGGAATGCATTTTCGACGGCGGATATCCAGTTCAAAGGGTCGTGCCGGCTCGTATCGAGCTTCGGGGTGAACGTCGCCCCAATCGCGAGAACCATGAGCAGCTGGAGTGTAAATTCCGAAGTAGTGTCCTCAGGCCGCTTCCAGAACCTCTGGCATTGGACGAGGAAGGTCGGAACGTGCAGGATACGCAGTACTGATTCAAAGGTTCGAAGATATGCTTGGATGAGTTGTTCGCTGATTTCGCGTTCTGGGACAAGCGATTGCAGCGCACAGGTAAGCGGAGGCGTATTGTTCTGTGTGACAAATCCGCCAAGGTCTCTGCATTGTGAGTAGATCTGACTCCCGGGTCCGTCTTTGTATGCGCGCTGTATAGCATGCACCTTGTGAAACTGAGATGCGTCTTGTCAGCGCGGAAAGAGGGACAAACATGTTTAGATCTGCACTTACGTGGACAATACTAGACATCCAGTGACTGGGTCCAAAGAACTGGGAGTCTACGAATACGCCGCGCAATGACAAATGCTCACTTGCGGCATCCATATGATCATCTTGCCACTCTTCATCCAAAGTGTGCTGGGTGGGTGTGGAAGCTCCCGAAACAGGGCTGTGGCTTTTCTCGAAAGTTGGTCGTTGCGAAGCGTTTACTCTGAGCGCTCCATGTGTAACCCCGTGACCTTTGGAGCTTTGTCTATTGCGGGAAATGTGACTTCTCTTCATGATACCATGGCATGGCTGGCGAAATCCGTTGTCTTCGTTTGGTAAGTACACGCAGTACTCAGACTTGGTCCGGGAGCATTGGTTGCAGGGAGTATTTCGATCGCATCTGAAGTCTGTTAGCGGTGCGATACGTATTCAGGGTGGATGTCAATCAACGAACTTGATCTTTTTCCGCCGGCAAGGCTCACATGCGAATGTCGGCCTTCGACGACGGCTTGATGATGAGGGGCTTTTGGTTGTCATGTTCATTGACCAGGGGCAGCTAGGAGACGTAGCTAGAGCTTGTATATATAGCCTTGCATCGATGACCATATCTGACTCGGAGTGGGTTGGCATTGAAGCCCCTCAATAAGAACTACTAGCACGCCTTAAAATCCTCCAAGCTGAGGGTCCGCCCAGTGGGATGCGAAACGCTTGTCATCCACAAGCCTCATACGCCGAGAGGTGGTAGCCCGAAGTGGTAGCCGGGCTCCACTTCCATCGAACTATGATAAGCAGTCCGATCTGATATGGAAGGAGCAACAAAGAACGCRAACCAGTGCGGGGCTTCAGCCGCTGGCATGGAGCAATGAGACGACTAGGCTGCAATGTTGAGATACGGGATGGTGTTGGCTTTCAAAGGATGCGCTTGCAGTGACCGTTTTGCAATGTCTTCGTATGCTGGTGATGGGCGCGTACGCTGCGGCTAGGAGGTGTTGGTACATAGTGAGCATTGATTGGTGCGGCCCACGTGGCACAGCGTGGCGAATGGCCCGATGTGTTGCATTGAGCTGCAGCTCGAGAGGTACCTGTCATCGAAGTTTACTCCTGAGCGGCTGAAGATATCTTGGATGTGATCTCAATCGGCGAATGGCGGGCACTGCTGGACCACGCCTGCGGGCCGCAGTCAGCACCTGGCAGGTCTATATTGCTGCACCACAGTTTTGGAGCGATGGAAACTTTGAATCAAACATTGTGTCGAATACAAGCTATGACGGGGCATGGCTACATGCCATGACAGGTATCTCTAGGCTATCGCTGAATGCGAAAGACATCTCAGTCGCTTGGACGCAATCTGGCCGGCGTTAGCAGAGCACTACCATGATGCTCAGGAATGTCATCTAAGGCACCTACGCTGGATTTCCATTCCTTCAGGATTTCGTAGCGACTGGGGGATTAGGGCACATTTTAGTCTGACCGGTGATGGTCCCTGGACGCCTTGTGCGTCAGCTCATGTCTGCGATGGGGTAGAGCGAAAGGGACCTACATGAGCTTTCTGGCGACAAAGTAGCCAAGTGTTCCCACAGCCCCCAGCTTGATGAAGATACCAAAGCCTCCTCGAGGGCCATAGCCTCTGAAGCGGCCAGCTCCTCCGCGAAAGTCTTGTCGTGTGGTGGATGGTCCACGGTGGCGATAAAAGGTGTCCATGTTGGTTGTAGTCGTCAGTCTGCACTCTCGCTTGTTGAGTTGATCCTTCTTAACAGAAGTAGAAGTAGCATCAGGCGAGGCCGCGTGTTGGTGCCGTCTCCGGACATCTCGGCCTCGGCCTTCCGAGCCCGAGAAAGCTCGGAATGTCCGTTCCGGCGCTCGTGTGAGTCGTGTCCGGTGAGAAGTGGAGTGGCCAGGCCGCCAACTGAGGACTCCTTCGCTCCATAGGGAGCGCTAAGCCGCCGGGCGCGTGGCATTCATGTGGGCACGCCGCGATCCTTCGAGCGAAACGGACGGGGCCGGGCTATGCAATGTCGCCATTGTTACGCTGATCCCCGAGTATTCCTTCCACTTTTGGAGCGGTTGGAAAGTCAGGAAACGCCATGTCCGAAGGTGCCCGCGACGTGAAATCCTGAAGCTCAGGTGCGCATTGATGGCAAGGAACCGTCCAAAGATGGTTCTTGGGTGTTCAACGGGTGCGGTCAAGGTGGAGAAGACATTTGCCGAAGATTAGACGATATTGACAGCTCGGTCTAACTTCAAGTGCGGCTTGATTAAAGGTCTCGTAATCAAGTTTAATCAAACGCGGTACACTAGCTTACAGCCTGCCACCTCACCCTTCCCGACAGACTCCACTCCTTCCATGACAGCCGCCAGCCCGCCGACCCTCTCACGATACGGCACGGGCTCGAGCCGCTCCAACATCCGTTGCAGCTCTACATACCACTTCTCTGCAAACTCCCTGTCCTCCAGTTGCGGTTCGCGGCGATACGGTCGCTTCCACGTAATAGGCTGCGAGAACTGGGTGAACATGAAGACCCAATCGGGTCGGACACTCCGTCGACGATGCCCACGGAGTGGAAATGGGTTCAACGCCATGTATCGCCCTCCGCTCGACCCTATCGCGTTGTAGCAGATTGCCATTGACCCCATGTCAGCTTGACAATCGAGAGCGAAGACAAGCTTGTTGTCGGTGTATTCCCGAATGTCATTGCCGCAAGTTGGAGACCGATAGTCGAAGGTTGCCACAGCTCCAAGACGCTGGAGACGTTCAACGCTTCCAGACGAGCATGTGGTGACGGGCTCGAGCCCAGCCCTGAACACACTAAATTTAGCGCTGCAGTGATATCAAGCAATGTATGACTTACAGTTTGAGCACTTGAATTGCCAACGATCCAGTCGCCGTCCCTCCTCCAGATACCAGTACAGGGTGACTCTTGGCAGAAGGCGCGGACGGTCTACTTTCGAGGCCCAAGCCATGATACAGCGCCAAGCCCACGGTCGACAATCCAATTCCGAGCGTGGCTGCACTTTGATAGCTCATGCTGTCGGGAATGCGAAGAAGGAACTTCGACGGGACCGCGACGTATTCTGCAAAGGCGCCATTGTCTCTGAACTCTGGGTTGTTACCAAACACGCAGCCACACACCTTGGTTCCCAGGCTCAGAGTATCGTCGGAGACATCCTCGCCGAGTTGCACCACATCGCCGGAGAAATCGCAACCTGCCGTGGCCCCAGGTGTCGGTGACATTTCGAGGCTCTTGCAATCGACTGGATTGAGGGCAACGTATCTGACCCGAACCAGGACATCATCGCGGCCGACGTTGGGTAAAGGGCAATCGCTTTCCAAAATTAAAGTATTGAACTCGGATACTTTCAAGACGGTTTGTGCACTGGGGAGTGTGTGGTGAATTGTCATCTTGATTTTGGCGTCGTTTGTCGATTTGACGATGCGGGAACTTAACCTTTTAGCGTACACGTGGATGAKATACCAGATGCGCAACACTCAATCTATACTGACTGTGCGTGTTCTTGTCACATGGGTGAAACGAGTGCTCGTCGGACATGCAGGCACACAGATTATCCCCGATCCGGAAATTTTCGAACGCCGGTTACGCCGACACGACTTCAAGGCGGACCGGAGATAATGCGTCTGACCGTTTGGATCTGTCAATGTGGCTGCACGATCCTGCTGGTGCGAAGCGTGGTCGCAGCGTGGTCGCCACGTGCTGGAGTGAAGTATGTCTTGGGGTGGTGCTGCTGCAGTCGAAGAGCACCAGCGCACAGCACGGAAGTGGGAACTCAAACACGACAATTGATTGTATCCAACTCAATAACAACGCATTCTGACCTCGCTCACTTCGTTCGAGGAAAACCAACAAACCACACCAAGTATCAAGAATCAAAGTCGATCAAACTCCTATCAGTACGTCTACTTCTAGCAGCGGGGATGGGCGAAGACTTGCTGACCATTCACAGAAATGATCGCAGCTGAAAGAGAACCCATCGCCATTGTCGGCATGGCCTTCCGGTTTCCAGGAGGGAGCTCCTCACCTTCCAAGCTCTGGGACTTGCTCAAGGCACCGCGCGACGTTCTGAAATCGTTTCCTTCAGATCGTCTCAACCTGAGCAGGTTTCATGATGTGGATGGACTCATGCATGGATCTACAAATGTCACCAACGCGAGTTACATTCTTGATGAAGATCCCAAAGCGTTCGATGCAAACTTGTTCAGTATAAGTCCTCTGGAAGCGGRGAGTATGGATCCTCAGCAACGTATGCTTTTAGAGGTCGTCTACGAGGCCATGGAAGCTGGCGGATGTTCTCTTGACCTGATGTCAGGTTCTTTGACCTCCGTTCATGTGGGCGTCATGAATGCCGATTACACGGATATCCAGAACCGAGACACCGAGACCATTTCAAAGTACAACGCTACTGGAACCGCCAGGAGTGTTCTATCAAACCGCATATCGTACGTGTTTGATTTCCGGGGCCCTTCAATTACTACCGATACCGCATGCTCGAGCTCTTTGGTTGCGCTTCACCAAGCTGTTCAGTGCCTGCATCTAGGTGACTGCGACAGCGCTATAGTAGGTGGTGTTAACCTCATCCTGGACCCGGCAATGTACATTACTGAATCGAAGCTGTCTATGCTTTCTCCTGAGTCTCGTTCCCGCATGTGGGATCAGGCGGCTAATGGGTACGCCCGGGGTGAAGGCGTTGCAGCGCTGGTCCTCAAGCCTCTAAGCAAAGCAATAAAGGACGGCGATTCCATCGAGGCAATCGTGCGGGGCACTGGAGTCAATTCGGACGGACGTAGCCCGGGTATCACCATGCCTACTGCAGTGGCTCAGACTGCGCTCATCCGACAAACTTATGAAAAAGCTGGTCTGGATCCAATTTTAGATCGGTGCCAGTTCTTTGAGTGTCACGGCACGGGTACCAAAGCTGGGGATCCAGTGGAAGCTCAGGCTGTTAGTGATGCTCTAATTCCACCTCAGGACATGCATCAGACGACTCCGTTGTACGTGGGATCCATCAAGACGATCATAGGACACACAGAAGGATGCGCTGGTCTTGCTGGTGTTATCAAGGCTGTTCTGGCCATCAAGCACCAGACCATTCCACCAAATCTAATGTTCAAAGATTTGGATACCGCCGTGCGGCCTGTTTACGGGCCAATGAAGATTCCTACGACTGCTGTACCATGGCCTGAACTCACTCCAGGCCAGCCGAAGCGAGCCTCTGTGAATTCGTTTGGTTTTGGCGGGACCAATGCGCACGCAATCATTGACGAATACTTGCCGATCCGCGAAGTTACCCGCAGGTCTTCACATATCACGGGTCCATTGGTCATATCAGCGCACTCTGGGGCCGCGTTGCTGAGCAAAGTGCGCAGTCTACACCAATACTTGGAAGACAATCCGAGCATCAACCTATCAGATCTGAGCTGGACCCTTCAGACCAGGCGCACGACACACAAGATCAAGACTCATTTCAGTGAAAGTACTCGCGAGATGTTGTTGAATAGCATGCTAGAATTTACGGCGCAGTCGAGTAAGCTTGCACCAACGGACATTGGATTCCAGCCCCAACTTATCGACCGCAGCGAGATTCCGGGGGTGTTGGGCGTTTTCACAGGACAGGGAGCTCAGTGGGCCACTATGGGACGTGRACTGCTTTCTGGTATTTCCCTGTTTCGCGAAGTGTTCGATCGCTGCGAAGCCGTACTGACTGCTTTGCCGGATGGTCCCACTTGGTCCTTACGCAAGGAATTGGAGGCGGAAGGGACCACTTCACGTGTCTCGGAAGCTGCTATCAGTCAACCGATTTGTACAGCTGTACAGATCGCCCTGGTAGATGTCSTGAAAAGGGCTGGATTACACTTCGACGCCGTGGTCGGCCACTCCTCAGGTGAAATTGCTGCTGCGTACACGGCCGGTATCTTGTCGCTTTCGGGGTCGATGCAGATTGCGTWTTATCGGGGCAAATATGCGCATCTCGCGTCAGGGACGGATGGCCAAGCCGGTGGCATGATTGCTACTGGACTTCCCTACGATGAAGCTGTGGCCTTGTGTGACGGAGACGAATTTTCAGGACGTCTGACCGTCGCGGCCAGCAACTCACCTACCAGTGTGACGCTCTCGGGGGATGTGGACGCCATCGCAGATGTCAAAAAGTACTTGGAAACACGGGACATCTTCGCTCGGGCTTTGCGAGTTGACACAGCTTACCACTCGCACCACATGAAGAAGTGTGCATCCGCATATCTCCGCTCCCTACTACAATGCAACATCGAGGTATCGAAACCCCATCCTGATTGTATATGGAGCTCAAGTGTCCGCGGCGACACAAAGCTCCTGCGTGGTGATCTTTCACTCCTGAAAGGACAGTACTGGGTACAGAACATGGAACAGACAGTCCTTTTCAATCAAGCAATCGAGTCGGCAATTGTCAACGGCGGGCCATTCGACATCGCTGTTGAGATTGGGCCGCACCCAGCACTGAAGAGCCCTGCGGAAGAAACTTTCAAGTCCAGCTTTGGCACGGCACCCTTGTATATCGGAACGTTGAAGCGAAGTTCTCCGGATGTTGATGCACTGGCTGCGACTCTTGGAAACTATTGGTCCGTCATGGGGTCGGCATCGGTCGACTTCGCTGGGTATCGTCAGGCATGCCTGGGGGACAAGTATGAGTCGCCCAAGACTGTGACTGATCTTCCTGCGTACCCATTTGATCGGACGCAAACCTTTTGGCGGGAATCACGCATTTCCGAAAACTACCGATTGGGTCAAGATGAGCCACGCGAACTGTTGGGTCGCCGCATGCCAGACGATTCCACCATTGCTTCCCGATGGCGTAACATACTCACTTTGGACGAACTCCCCTGGCTTGCGGGGCACGAGATCCTGGGTGAGGTGCTCATGCCCGGCGCAGGATACATCTCGATCGCATTAGAAGCTGCAAAGCAGCTTGCTGGTGGACGCCCGACAAGTTTGTTGGAGATACAAGACGTTTCTATTCTTCATCCGGTCGTGGTACCAGGCCAACAAGAAAGGGTTGAGACCATTTTTACTGCACGACGATTGAGCTCCAGAGATGATGAAACCATTGAAGCAGAATTTGATTACTGTTATTGGCCCGCTACTTTCAACGCTGCCGCGGTTCTCGTCTGTACTGGCAAGATACTCGTGCATCTCGGTCAGCCAGCGCCAGAGCATCTGCCCCCTCGAAGTGCGATGCTGGGGGATCTCTTGGATGTGCCTGTTAGCCAGGCATACAGCTCCCTTCAATCAATCGGCTTGAATTATCAGGGGATCTTCAAGGGAATGACACAGATCCGGCGGAGAACCAACACCGCCCAAATCCACGCGCAGTGGTCTGCCACCGATCTGGGCGGTAAATACATTGTGCATCCAGCGCTACTGGATGTAGTCTTCCAGTCAAATTTTGTCGCAAAGGCGTATCCTGCCCAGGGACTGATGGATGCTGCTTTTCTACCCGTCAGCATTTCTCGTGTATCAGTAAACCCATGCGTGTGCCCCACAGGCGGAGATCGCGATGTAGCGGTGGATGTTGACTCCTACGTCACCCATACTGACGCTTCCTCGATGTCGGGAGATATGCATGTCTACACAGGAGGAGAAAATCCTTTCATTGAGATTGAAGGACTTGTGCTCAAGATTGCCGCTGAGCCTCTGGAATCGGACGACGTGCAGATTTTCTGTGAGACTGTGTGGAAGCCGGACACTTCACTGGTACTGCCGGATCCTGAACGTGACGAGGATCACGACCTGGAGCAAATGGCTCTTGCCGAAACAATCGATCGCGTTGCCTTTTTCTATCTGAGACAGGTTCTGAACGAAACAGAGAACACCGACATCTCGAAATGCCAGGAGCACCACCAACGCATGCTGGAATCATTTCGGCTCATTTTGAGACAGGTCAAGTCCGGGCAGCATCGACTCTTGAAACCAGAGTGGCTACAAGACGATGTTGAGACTCTGCGCACACTCTGCCTCGCCTTTCCCAATCAAATTGATCTGGAGTTGATTCATGCAATCGGCGCCAATCTAGCCTCTGTTGTTACTGATGAGACATCGCTCTTGGAGGTCATGTTAGCCAATGACATGCTCAGCCGGCTGTACATTGAGGGATGCGGATTTGTAACCATCAACCAAGAGATTGGAAACCTGTTGCAGCAGATCACTCATAAGTTCCCCCGTGCCAACATCCTTGAAGTGGGAGCAGGAACCGGAGGAACGACCCAGGGAATTCTACAGTCCATTGGACCCGCCTATCAATCGTACACCTTTACGGACATTTCTGCTGGCTTTTTCGAAGCTGCCAAACTTCGTCTGCATGCAGATGAAAAGCGTATAACTTTCAGGGCACTTGACATCGAAAAACCTGTGAGTCCGCAAGGTTTCGAAGAAGAAAGCTACGATATCATCATTGCCGTCAATGTCCTTCATGCCACTCGCGACTTGACAGCCACGCTACAGCACGTCAGATCTCTACTCAAGCCGGGCGGCTATCTGATTCTGGGGGAAATCACCAATACGGACGTGCTGCGCTACTCCTTTATCATGGGCGGGCTACCTGGATGGTGGCTAGGGGGAGACGACTCGCGTCGCTTCCATCCTTGTATTCCAGCAGTACAATGGGATCAACTACTCCTGGATACTGGAYTCTCTGGTCTGGATCTGGCATTTTCCGATCTGGAAGATGAGAACAAACACTGCAACTCTCTCCTGGTTAGTCGATCGCTAAGCCCAAGCTACGAGAGACTCCGAGATCCTATTCCTACTTTAGAGACGATCGATGTCGATACACCTCTCCTGTTAATCGGCGGTTCAACGCTACAAGTTGCGAAAATCAGGACGGAGATTCGCAGGCTCCTTCCCTCTAACTGGCTGGAACAAACTCAGAGCATCGACTCAATTGACGATCTAGTTGATACCCAGATAAAAGCAGGCACTGGCGTCATTTTCCTGCAGGAACTCGACTGTCCAATGTTCTCCAAGCCCGTCACTTCGCACCAGTGGATCTCTTTGCAGAGCCTACTTGCAAATGCAAGTCGAGTGCTTTGGATCATCAAGAATCATCGATCAGGCAGTCCTGAGTCGGGCATGTTTCTTGGGATTGCTCGTTCGCTTGAGCAGGAGATGCCGCACCTCAAGACACAAGTCTTGGACTTTGAGACAAAGGAAAGTCCAGCTAGCTTGGCGCGGACAGCAGTCGAGGCTTTTGCTCGTCTCGCTCTCCATCAGCCTGCGAACGTCTTGTGGACAGTCGAGCCTGAGGTTGTCATGGCCAACGGAGCGGCTCTTGTGCCTCGAATTATGCCCATCAAGTCTATGAATGATCGATACAACTCTACAAAACGAGAACTGGTACGATCCGACATGCCTATTGCCGACACAATTGAGCTACGATTCACCAAAAGAGGACTAGCATTGGTGGAGGTGCAGCAGAGTCGAACGCCAGTCACTGATGATCATGCTCAAATGATTGTGATGTACTCTCTATCCATCCCTAGTACGGAGGAATCGCTGTACCTGTCACTCGGCCGTGTTGCCGATTCAGATGTCCATTTCCTGGCACTCTCATCCCGAAATCGATCTCATCTCCGGAAACCACACAATGAGCTTGTCCAAATGCCAGCTGTGGAATGCACGCCAGCCGCGCTTCTTGCCTTCAGGTCATGTCTGATTGCCATTACGCTGTCAGCAGTTGTCCGTTCAACGTCGATCACATTGGTTCACAATGCGGACCGACCGCTGGCACTGGCAATTTCGCGCAAAATGGGAAGCCAAGTCATTTTCTCTACCTCGAATACCGATGTACCTCCAGAATGGCTCTATGTACACCCCAGAGCATCGGCACGCGCGATCAAGCAAATCCTCCCTCCCAATGTCGGCGATGTCTTGGATTGCTCTGAGCCAAGTTCGCGAGCCTCAAACCTAGTCACAGTCTTATCAGCGGCTCGACAATGGCTTCCGAATGGGGATCTTGTGCGAGAAGGGACTTCAACACTTGGAATCGCCGAGGCACTCGGACAGGCGCTCAACTTGATGAGCCACTTCTCATCGGGCGACAATGTCTCGGAATTGGTGCCTTGCGAGGTTGAAATCCAGAATGTAGCAAAGCTTACGGGATCGGAGCCTTCGAGATCTCAAATAATGGACTGGACCATGGTCGATTCCACAGCATCCCTGACGATTCTACCACTCCAGGCCAAGAATTTATTCAGACCTGATCGTACATACCTCATGGTGGGGTTGACCGGTGCGTTGGGGGTGTCACTTTGTAACTGGGCTGTCGACAATGGCGCCAGGAATCTTGTAATCACAAGCCGTACGCCGAAAGTTGACTCTGAATGGCTAGCTGCTTGTCGCAAACGGGGTGCCGCCTTACACGTCTGGCCAATGGATGTTGCAGACGAGACATCCGTGAGGGCCACCATCGCCCGAATCTCCAAAGAGCTACCACCACTTGCCGGTGTCTGCAACGGAGCAATGACTTTGGCTGACAAACTTTTCGTCGATATGCGCCATGATGAGCTGAACATGGTCCTGGAGCCCAAGTTCAAGGGCTCTCAAACGCTTGATAAAGTCCTGGGGAGCTATCCACTGGATTTTTTCATCCTACTCTCCTCCTGTGCAATGCTCATCGGCAATCCGGGACAGTCGAATTATCACGCGGCCAACTTATACATGGCTGGTCTGGCAGCACGTAGACGCAGCCGAGGTCTGAACGCGTCTGTCATTCACTTGGGTTACATCGCGGACGTTGGATATGTTACCCGCCAGGATCATCGTATGCGGGAACGACTGGAAAAGCTATTGTTCCGACCTTTGTCTGAAGCTGATATCCACAACGCCTTTGCCGAAGCAATGCATGCCGGTCACACAGATTCCGTGGTATTCGACTTCGCCATGGGGATGGGCCCTGCGAAGGAGCACGTTGCTCATGAGGTGCAGCCCTACTATTTCCACAATCCCCGTTTCAGTCATTTCAATCCCCCACCGGGAAGCTCCAAAAGAGACGCAGTTCAAATATCCAACAGTCTCGGTTCGTTGGTCAGGGAAGCAACCAGCGAACAGGATGCAATCCACTGCGTCCAGACAGCCTTCTGCGCAAAAGTGGAAGCAATACTCCAGCTTGCAGTGGGGAGCATCCAGCCACAACAGTCATTGATGGATGCTGGGATTGACTCTCTAGTTGCTGTCGAGATTCGCAACTGGTTCATGAAAGAACTCGGCGTAAAGATTCCTGTGGTGAAGATTTTGGGCGGGAGCAGTGTTGAAGAGCTTTGCAATAATGCTGCAAAGAAGATGCTCTCAATGCTTCTCGAGACTACAGACCAAGTTCCGCAACCAATCCAAGCAGATGAGCAGGCAGCACCTAAATCAGTGGCGGCTGATGAGTCTACCGAGCTGGGAACACTGGACTTGAACGGCGATATCAGCGCCAGTGAGACAGACTATACACCTGAGAGTGGGTCCGAAGTCGATCACGCTGCCACACAAGACAGTGGGAGCAATACTGGAAGCTTGAGCACTTATGAAGATTCACTCACTGATCTCACTCCTGGACCAAAACATCAGCTGCAGTCCCCTGAAATCACACGAGAAGGACCAATCTCTTTGGCTCAATCACGAGTGTGGTTCCTATCAGAGAATTCCGAACGMTCTTCAGACTGCAACCTGACATTCATCTATGATGTTGAGGGGCCTTTGCAGGTGCATCGCTTACAACACGCACTGGACTTGGTCATGACTCACCACGATGCTCTTCGAAGCTGTTTCTTCATGCGTCCGGGTGACAATCAACTCAATCAAGGCGTCATGTCATCGCCACGTCACCTGTTCACGCAAGTAAGAAATGGAACCGCAGATGACGTTCTCCGCGCTTCCGACAGACTCAGGTCCCACGCCTGGGATCTTCCAAATGGTCAGATGCTGGGCATGGCGGTTGTTTCCAAGAACTCATCGCAGCATACGATCGTCCTGGGTTATCACCACATTATCATGGACGCATACAGCCTCGGAATTTTCCTTCGAGACCTGAACTTGGCCTACGCGACTGGCTCGCTCCAGCAAAAGCCAGCGGCATATCTGGACTTCGCCAAAGCAGAACACTCTTTGACCAACATTGGCTACGAAAACGAAGACCAAGCCGAAAAAATCGAGTTCTGGAAGAACGAATTCGCTACCATTCCTGATCCTCTACCGATTCTCCCAATGAGCCGAGTACTGACCAGACCTGTTGCTATCCGGAACAAGAATGTGTGTCTCCGCAAGCACATTGACAAGTTGGAATGGGCCGGCATCTTGAAAGCTTCTCGAGCGTTGAAAGTGACTCCTTTCCACTTTCATCTTGCTACATTCCAAGTACTGCTCGCTCGGTACGCGAATATTGAAGACTTCAGCGTTGGTATTGCGGATGCAAATCGGCTCGACGACCGCTATTCCGAGACTATTGGCTTTTTCATGAACCTATTGCCCATGCGATGTAAGGTTCCTAAAGGCGCTGAGTTTGCACAACTCGCCCGCAACACTTCTCGGAAAGCTCTCGAGGTATTGCTCCATTCCGGAATTTCTTTTGACAAGATAATGGAGGTCACGAAAGCCCCCAGATCACCGAGCTACTCACCCATGTTCCAAGCTTCCATCAACTATCGCATGGGTGCCATTAGCGACGTGCCTCTTGGCGACTGTGCGATGAAACTATCCGACGGCCAGGACGCTGAGAATCCATTTGACATTAGCCTTGGAATTCTAGAGTCCAAAGATGGATCAGCAACGACTGAKATCATATGCAACGCAGATTTGTTCGATCCAGAGGCAGTCTCCACGCTCATGGACTCGTACTTGCGTCTGCTGCGTGGATTTACAGCCGATCCGAATCTCTCCACGGATTGCGTCGAGATGCATCATCCAGACGCCGTACAGTACGCACTGGCGATGGGCAGGGGACCTCGCGTTTCTCTGAGCACTACTATACCTGCTCCAATATGGGCGCAGTTCTGCGTCGCCGCGAAATCCCACGCCATCGAACCGGCGATCTGCCACCGAGAAAAGATTGTGTCATATTCGGCTCTCCAAGTCCGGGCTCGATCCATTGCTACGTCTCTCGTTGGTGCTGGGTGTTTAGCTGGGTCTTATGTTGCAGTACTGTGTGAACCTTCGACCGACTTTGTGGCATCCATGCTGGCCATCTTCCACCTCGGGGCCATCTATTGCCCGCTTGACATCAGCCTTCCTTCTGCTCGACACGAAGCCATGGCCCAATCTTGCCGACCTGTCGCTATTCTCTATGACCGGGCCACATCAGCTAGAGCACTCGATCTGAGCTCTTCATTGGTGGCGGATGATGACAAATTACCAGGCATCTGCGTGGATGACTGCAATACATATCAGGCCACAGCTCAATGCAAGCAAGATCCCGACTCTCCTGCCATATTGCTGTTCACCAGTGGCTCTACGGGACGACCAAAGGGCATCAAATTGACGCAGAACAACATCATGAATCATATCTCTGTTAAGACCCGGATTCTACAATTGCAGCGGGAACGGGTGTTGCAGCAAAGTTCCATGAGTTTCGACATGTCGATGATCCAGATTCTATCGGCCCTCCTGAATGGTGGCACAGTTGTTATCGCACCCTCAGAACACCGACGTGACCCAGTCGAAATCACGCAACTGATTCGACGGCAAAAGGTTACAATGACGATTGCTACTCCTTCGGAATACAAGGTGTGGCTAAACCACGATGCGAATTTGCATGTTGGACTTCGTGATTCAGCCTGGCGAATCGGCTGCCTTGGTGGCGAAGCGGTCTCTGAGCAACTGTTGCGAGACTTCGCCTTGCTTGGCCTTCCAAGCCTTCAATTGACAAATTGTTATGGTCCAACTGAGATAACCGCGGCGGCAACCTTCAAATCGATCAATCTTGATGATCACGCCGGCGATCAAATTTCGGAGCGTGCCTCGTCAGTTGGAAAGGCACTGCCAAACTACTCGATCAGCATCGTCGATGCCGACGGCAAGCCCCTGCCCCTTGGTATGCGCGGAGAGATCTGTGTCGGGGGCGCCGGAGTAGCTCTTGGGTACTGCGATAATGTAATGCAGACAACGCGGCAATTCATTCCGGACCCATCGAATTCGRCTGGCTGGCCATTTCCACGGATGTATCGTACCGGCGATCAAGGCAGAATCCTACCAGACGGCGCCCTACAATTTGTCGGGCGGCTTGATGGCAGCACGCAGATTAAGTTCCATGGAGTACGTATGGAGTTGGAAGAGATTGAAGGTACCATGCTTGCGAACTCTGACGGCAAACTCTCTGCGGTCGTTGTGACGCTGCGGCAAGAAGCGCTCATTGCTCATGCCACACTAACAGCAAGTGTTGGGGCGATGAATGATGAGGACATTCAGGTTCTGCGGACAWCTTCCGCCCGTACCTTGCCTGGTTATATGTGTCCAGCTGCATTGATTCTTGTGGACATGYTACCACTAACTTCTGCCGGCAAGATTGACCGGGGTGTGGTGTCTGCGCTTCCCATACCTAAGCATACCCACCAGCAGCACAACGACAGTGACTGTGGAATAAGCGCTTCCAGTAGGCTGACGCTGCGCGAAGGCGAGCTGCGACTACTCTGGGAGAGGGTGTTGTCAGGTCCAGACCGATCGATTCGCTCAGATTCCGATTTTTTCAACATAGGCGGCAATTCASTCTCCCTGATGCGGCTCCAAGGAGCGATCAAAGAATCTATTGGGGTTTCGGTATCGACTCGCGATCTCTATCAATCGAGCAGCCTGCGAGACATGGCCAAGTGCATCTCGCTTGAACAGGAGCATCACCAGCTTGAAGAGGGGAACAACACCATTATCTGGGACGAGGAAACAAGGATCCCTCCCTCGGTTCAAAACATCATGGACCGTCTTGGACATCAGACTGGCCGTAGAGACAGACCCCGTGAGACGAATCCCATCAATGTCCTGCTTACGGGCTCAACCAGTTTCCTTGGCGGAAAGATTCTGGAAGCTTTGAACAGACTGGTCGGATCACGCATCGGCAAGATATACTGCATCGCTGTTCTCCCCGATGACAAGATGACCATTCCGGCATCTTCTTCCGTCGTGTACTACACTGGTAGTTTGGTTCAAGAACGTCTCGGTCTGAGGTCCACGGAGTATGCTTACCTTACATCCACAGTCGATCTCATCATTCATGCGGGAGCAAATGGACATTGCTTGAACAACTACCAATCGCTCAAGATCCCAAACCTGGACTCTACACATCAATTRGTCAGCATGGCTCTCCCTCGGTCTATCCCCTTGCTGTATGTTTCCTCCAACCGCGTTACCTTACTGCAGGAGGACACGAACGCACTGCTCCCGGTTTCGGTTCGACATGACTCTCCTCCCACGGATGGCAGTCAAGGATACACAGCAACAAAGTGGGCTAGTGAGGTCTTCCTAGAGAGACTGTCCGAGACAGCTCCTGGCCGTTCGATTCCGATCCTCATCAGTCGGCCATGCGTGGTCGTAGGCGACGAAGCACCTAATTCAGATGCTCTGAACGCCATCCTACGTTATTCACGGCTCATGCAGACCGTCCCTGTTTTCGAAAACGTCCAAGGCTTTCTCGACTTCAAAAAAGTTGAGACTGTGGCTCACGAGATCGCAGAGGACGCTCTTTCTCTCTTGCACGCCCCAGGAGGAGTTCGGATCCATCATCATTCTGGTGGCGTTCGCGTTCCGATGGAACAACTTGCGATGCACATGGAAGCGCTCTACGCCGTCAAGTTTGAGAAATGCTCTCTATCGGAATGGATTATCAAGGCGCTTCGAATCGGGATTGATCCGTTGATCACTGCTTATCTTGAAGCGATGGTGGAGCGAGGCGAGGTTTTGCGATTTCCGTTCATGGGCGAGTCGGTCTGATTTAATGTGCGGGGGTCGGTCGCTTGGATGAAGTAAATCTATAGTGAGCCAAAGAATTGTATATTTCATCATTTTCAGCTGCGTCATCTTGTGTCTGTGTCGTGATTAAAAGCTATAAGCTCGGTCATCCGAGGGAGAATGGACATCAATTTGCCGAACTTGTGAAGTTTGTGCATGTGAGTCGCATACCAAGATACCAGGTAGACTCCAAGCTCGGTGAATCTCGGACCTTCCGGAATTCACCGAGCTATTTGGTGTTGGATCGATCAACCGGACTTGTCACTCGAAGCCCGAGAAACGGACATATCGACGTGGAGTCCCGTCACGATGCGCTATTACATATATTACTGTCCCTTCCTGCCTTTGGTTTGAGCATAGAATTCTCCTCACGATATTCGCTCTCAACTGAATTCAGCAAGCATGATCGACGACAAAGATTCCCAGCTCGAAAAGGGGTCTTCGACTTCTCTAGATGCCGACACAGCTTCTCGTTCTTTGCCTACGGAGCAGAGTCGTCCGACGGCTGCAGATACGTCCGAGGGTGGTAGTAAAGCGTACTTGTCACTTCTTGGTGGCTCCTTGGGTCTATTCATATCCTTTGGTTGGGTAAACTGCATTGCGTTATTCCAGGCTTACTATGAAAGGAATCAGTTGAAGGGCTATGTAAGAATAACTTGTCAGTTTGCATATCTCAGGCATAAGCTAACGTAAGCAGTCTTCATCTGAAGTCTCGTGGATTACATCAACCGAGTGTAAGTCTGCCTCTTCCCGATTGGTGCTTTATCTATGGACAATCTAACATCGACCAAGTCTTCTTTATGCTTTCCATGTCGCCCTTGTCGGGCTACTTATTCGATAGCTATGGACCACGCCTACCGATCTTCCTCGGTGGCATTTTGCACGTGTTTGGGCTCATGATGGCTAGTCTGTCGAGCGAGTATTACCAATTCATGCTGAGCCAATCCATCTGCTCGGGTATTGGAACCTCCTTGATTTTCACACCGGCTATGACTGCGGTATGCGCATGAATCTCTTCCCTTAACGATGCATAAGCTGACGGTAGAGATCTTGAACAGCCTATGACCTACTTCAAAAAGCGTCGAGCCCTCGCGGGAGGACTCACTGTCGCAGGGAGCTCTCTCGGCGGGGTCATCTTCCCTCTCATGGTCAATAATTTGCTACCACAAGTCGGTTTCGGATGGACAATGCGAATCTGTGCATTCCTGATCCTTGCTTTGTGGATTGTCACTCTGATGACCATCACCTCCAACATGAACCATGTGCGAAAGGACTTCCAAATCTCCAACTACCTCCGACCATTTACAGAGCCGACCTATCTGATCCTACTCGTCTTCTGCTTCTTCCTATATTGTAAGTCACAAAATTCCAAATCCTTTACCCAAATGAATTGCTTCTAACCAAGACAACAGGGGGCCTCTTCGTCCCATTCGACTATCTCGTAGTCTCAGCCATACACGACGGAATGTCAGCCACCATGGCATTCAATCTAATCCCCATCATGAACGGCGCCAGTTTTTTCGGCCGCACAATTCCCAACGCCCTGGCCGACAAATTCGGACGATTCAACGTCCTGATCGTGATGGTGATTTTCACAGGCATCATTACCCTGGGATTGTGGTATCCAGGCCACAGCAATGCAGCCATCATCGTGTATGCGGCAATCTTCGGAGTCAGCTCGGGGGCGTGTATCGGTTTGACGCCTCCTTTGGTCATGAACATCACCAAGGATCCGAGAGAGGTCGGGTTCCGAATCGGTTCTGCTCTTGCTGTTGCGGGTATAGGTACCCTTACCAGTCCCCCTATTGCTGGAGCTATCGCTGGACTTAGTGGGGGCTCGTTTTCTAATGCGGCTATCTTCAGTGGTGTGAACTTTTTAGTCTCAGCCGTTTTTCTTGTCTGGTTGAGGGGGAGGATTTCCGGCTGGGATCCACGCACGAACGCCTGAGTGAGGTGCTACTTTACGTCAATTTGCTTCAGCGCTGCATACGATGATCTGGCGGGCATAGCGACGTTCGAATAGGATTCTGGGATATGACAGGTCCATCTGTTGTATAGACTGTATTCGTATTCGAAATGGGAAATAAAGTGACAGACTACGTTCTCTAAGAAACGATCATATGGTGGCTGTGTCCGAGCGCTCTRTATCGAACCCATGCGTAAGGTGCCGTGTAATTGTACTTGATGAAGAGACACATGTGTCCGCAACTCCAACGCTGATTTCATGACCAACTCTCTTGCCCGCTCTGGAATCTGAAATTTGTCCGCTGCTCCACTGACTCATCTTCGGTTGCTTCCGTGAAAGACCATTACATGGTACCTACCAATGTAGAGCAAAAGTATTAGCAATGACATACTTGGAGATCTTCCAAAACAACGGCCAACCTGTACACAACAGGCCAACCTTTCGCTTTGGGTACACTTACTGCGGTAGCGCTGGATCTCCAGGAAACGTTTCACTCCCCCGAAGCTTGTGGCCACGTTCGCGTAGCATTGTAGCGAGCGGAGAAGATCTACCGACGCCGTGCGACGTCTTCGCGTTTCCTACAATTTCTTCCTCTACAAGCACCACGACTGCTTTTGGCGATCGCTCAATCATTTTGCCGAGAATCTCAACGGTCCGGAGAGATTTGTCGTCGTTGAATTGAGCAGCTGTTGAGAAGATCATATCGACTGGTCTGCCCGGACTTCCACGGTCTCCCATGGAAGAAGAGTTCCAGTCCCCGAATCGAACGGTAGATGCGAAAGCCGGAGACATCATTCGGATGTTGTCTTCGATCGTCGGCAGAGCTTCGGCATCGTCCAGGATAACGACGTTGGAATCGGGTATGAGCTGCGCGACGGTGATACCAATAGCACCGCAGTTCTGGCTCATATCGATGATGCTCAGCTTCTTCGATGCAGCTAGGGCAAATTTCTGCTCCATCTGCTTTACTCCGTCAGTTCTGAGACCAATGACGTCGTCCAAGTGTGAAAGCAGCACAACACCACTAGATCTTGATATGGAGGTCAGCGCTTGACTTGGTCAACTTTTCGGAACATCATACTTTATCTGGGCAGAATTCTGTCCGCAACTCTCCCAAGCCCGGAGTGTCCGTTTGCTTGAGAGCTTGAAACGTCTCTCGACTCTCTCATCGCTAGCAATCGGATTCAGATTGTCGAACGCTGGACTCCAAGCAAGACACACTCGTGGGGTCCTGTTCAATGAAGGTGTCGCCAACGGCGATAAGCTGCCGCTCTCCTGACCATCCGCACAGACGAGGACTCTGACGGGCCATATCACCCCATTGCTTACGTCAAACACAATGGGGAGTCTTGTCATGCCAGCACGCCACTCATACGACTCCGTCAGACAAGGCGTATCGTCGTCATTCGATGACAACAGACTGGCCTTGAGCGTGATGTCTTGGTCGTATATAGTCCCATTCGGCTGCGTTGCAATGGTTATGGCGCCAGTAATCCATGTTCGCATAAAAGGTGCTTCTTCGGTCAGGACGCGCGGTGGCCGCTCGAACTGTACAAAGTACATTTCCGCGCGACCGACGTTGTAGGAGGGAGCATGATGGATTGCAGATTTGCAGTGTTGTAAGTTGTTGTGTAGAGGATAGATCGTTGATCTGCTGGAGTGTCGTCGACTTCGATCTTCAAGAATTCCACTACGCTGGTCGCTGGGCTGTCGATCGCCCCAATCAGGATGCCACGATGCTGGTGAAAGCGGGGCCTGTATATCGGATCAGGACTTCGCAACGATCTCCCAGCAATGAAGAGGTGCATATTACCGCGACGGGATCCTTTGTTGCGGGTGCCGATTGCTCGTGTAGAAGTCCGAGCCGAGGGTACCACCATTTGTGAGTAACACGAAGCAAGCCACAAGACGAGTCAAACACGCACACACCATCAACACACAGACTCTTAAAGATGTCCAATAGATGGCGAAGCAGAGTGATTTTGATATCCTTCCCTGGCCGGGATGTTGCATTCCATAGGGCTTAGCACAGCGAACCAGGATGGACCAAAAGATTAGTGCTTTTGGTGTCGCCGAAAGCATCCATCAGCTTTGACAACATTGGCCAATGACGTGCGTATTGGAGCGCAGGATCGTCATGCTGAGGGGCAGATGTTGATGATATAAGGTATGTACTCTAAAGGCTCGGTCGTCGCAATGTCCCGACAGAAGGCTGGCGATGGCGATGAAGCGAGCGACGACACTTCCTCACCACTCTTGACAAGACTTCTCATGCCTCAGAAGTCCCATGGGCTTCTGGCTCTACAATGAACTGAGACGGCGGTCGAACAGCAGCATTGTCATGGTCAGATGGTCGGAGTCCTATTCGCGTGAGCGCTATCCTTGTGGATCACAGGCTCGAGGGTCACTACGTACCGTACCGCGGAGGCCAAAGCTCGGACGACAAGCAACACTCATGTGTTATGCGGCTCAGGAGCACAGTTCTCCCCCATAGTTATCCCTCCTTCTCACCATCTTGACTGGCTGGCTAGGTACGTGACCACGTTACATTTTTCGGTAATGTGAAATACTTATCGTGTCTTGGCAAAACTAGACTGAATACGGTTCTTTTACACTTCACCTCACCACGGCAGCGATGTCTTCGTAAAACAACAACATAAGATTCATCCTTACACTAACCTGTCAATCTTGCAGTGTTCCGACGTTCTAGAGACCGAGAAGCTATGCATATGCTTCGCTCTCAGACGCCCGCTTCAGTGCGATTGCTCCGTCCTCATCGTGCCAAGCATCGGGGATGAGCAGCCAGGCCGTCCATCATCGGCTCTAAGTCTATGTCCGAGAGAGAATCTCGCACTACTAACTCATCATACTTAATAGATATTATAGTTGACAACAGAGACTGGAGAATTCTACGAGAGATCTGAAAGCCATCAACGTCACGACCATGTTGTCGATCGACAATCTCCCCATTTCCATCCTCGCCTTGGGTTTTGGGCTCGTGGGCCTTGCTTTACACGTTGCATGGCGTAGCTTTGAAGAATACCAGGCACGCAAGGTCAATGGATGCGGACCAATCCCAGCATATCCTCAATGGGACCGCATATTTGGCCTGGACCTCGCCTTGAGTCAACTGCGAGCGCTACGAGGCGACTACTTCGTCCCATGGCTTGCTGCTATGCACAAAGACCAGCCGAGTACCTTCACTATCCGATTCTTGGGAAAACGACAGATCTTCACGACCGAGACCGAGAACCTCAAGTCCATGACTGCGATCAACTGGCAGGACTTCGGGATCAGTCCATTGCGGCGCAACACAAAGGCCTTCCACCCATTTGCTGACAAGGGAGTCAACACGGTCGACGGAGATGACTGGGTCTTCAGTCGATTTCTGATCAAGCCCTTCTTCAACCGCGATGTATATACAAGCACCGAAAGGGTCAGGCCCTTTGTTGATACTTTCATGTCTTTACTGCCACCAGATGGAGAGACTTTCAATGTTCAGCCCCTGTTACAGCGATGGGTTCGTTTCTTTTCTGTCAGTATCTTGGTATCCTTCGACGCTAATCGACACATAGTTTCTCGACTTGACTACTGATTTCATCCTCGGCGAGCCGATGGGTGCTCTCACTCATCCAGCCAAGGCCAAAATCACTTGGGCTATGCTTGATGTATTACGTGGTAGTCGCCAACGTATGCAATTGGTACGTATCATCAACTGGATCAAGTGGGACTGGTGGCTTAAAGGTGAGTCCAAAGTAACAGCCATGTGGTTGGCACAGTTGCTGATCATACCCTTCTGTATGCAGCGGTCTACGAAGTACATGATTTCGTTGACGGCCACATCACCGATGCATACCGGGAGATAAAGGAGCGCAACGACCAAATTGCCGCTGGGAAAGAAGTCGGACCAGAACGCCAGGATCTTCTCTGGTATATGGCATCCCACGACTCTGACCATGAGGATTTGCGGTCCCAGCTGTCTCTACTCCTGGTTCCGAACAACGACACGACGTCCATCTTCATCAGCAACGTGATCTGGCACCTTGCTCGCAACCCCGACGCATGGCTTCAATGCCGCCAGGAAGTCATTGGTCTTGTCGGAAACGACGTCGAAGAAGCCATTCCGAAACTCACGTTTTCCGCGCTGCGAAGCATGAAATTTCTCAACGCTTGTCTCGACGAAACCCTCCGTCTGAACCCGAATAACGTCACTCAAGTCCGCGTCTGCGTCAAAGACACCACACTCCCTCGAGGAGGTGGCAAAGACGGTGACATGCCCATCTTCGTGCGAAAAGGAGACATGGTACAGGTCACGAAGACTGTGCAGCAACGAAACTACGAGTACTGGGGTGAGGATGCGGATCACTTCCGTCCATCGCGATTTGTGGGATTGAAGCCTCTCTGGGAGTTTGTACCCTTTAGCGGAGGACCCAGACGTTGTCCTGCACAGATGATGGTTATGACCGAGGCTGCATATATGCTGGCTCGTTTGGTGTTGCAATACAGTCGTGTGGAAGCAAGAGATGCTAACCCATACAAGGCTATTATGCGGATTGGGCCTAGTAATAAGACTGGAGTGCTTGTTGCGTTCTACAAGTAGTTTGCGCCGCATATACATAAAAGAACGGTCCACGTTTATCTGTAAATCAGAACTGTCAGTATGAAGTCTCTTCACCAGGGTGAGCCTGTCAACAAGACCTCTTCGTAGCTTAGTAGGCGACTCTGCTAGTGTGGAGGTCTCCGCTATCTTCCATCACGAAGTCTCTATTGAGGGAGCAGTCCTAAGATTAGTGCAAGGGGACATCAAGATTCTCGATATGTTGCAGGATCCTCATGTTGACAGCTCTACCGAAACCGAATACAGCATAACCCGATGTAAAGATCTCTACTCTACTGTCAGACTCTTTATCTTGTCTTTCTAGATTGAGTGTTTGGCTGAGTTTGCCACTATYAGCTTGTCGGACTGCACTACCTGTGCGGCAGAACAGGTAGCTTGGATGGATCATGTCCACCAATCGACGAACGGACCAAAACAGGTTCACTGGAGTAGTTTAGCAAGTCCCTCGCAATATTGCAGTCAAGTCAAAACAATTTCCGTTATTCCTACTACTGAAGACTAATCGTCTTGGTCAGATCTTTCAAGAAACAGCTGTCTAGAATGAACGGCGAGAGTGTATCATGATAAATATCGATCATCGATATCAAGGTCTTATCTACAACTTAGTAAAACGAACATCAGGCGCCTCCTTCCCAGAACCCATAAACCCAGCTTTCACGGTAGTAGTTCCAAGAGGTTCCAACGTAAACCGTTCCACAACAGCAACAATCGTAAGCTTAAACAGAACATCGGCGACATTCTTACCCATACACCGTCCAGAAGCTGCGCCAGTACCAAAGCGCATGAAACCACATCGCAAAGCAGCCGGTGCCACCTCGAGAAAGCGATCTGGACGAAAGTTTTCACCGTCCGGACCCCATGCTGAATTAATTGAAAGATCAGCTTCTAACTTCTAGCGCTGCTTTGTCTTTTTTCACTTACTGATTGCTTCTTCGTTCAAGCGGCGATTGTCAATGATGACCGTGGTTTTAGCGGGGATATGGTAGCCACTGATGGATTTGTCTTCCGCTGTATCTTCCGGCATGGAAAACCCTGCCTTCTTGTCAGTTTCTAGAAACGGAGAAGGAGCTCTGCTCAGGGGCTTGCGAGAACACTAACAAAAAGCTRRACTGAGCCTCATACCCTCCATGACAACTCGATGGAGGATACTTTTGGCGTCAGTGAGATATTGAGTCATATCGCCATGACTCTCGGATCTGTAGGCTTTGATCTCAGAGCGCAAGTCATCTTGGACGGATTTGTTGGCAGCCAGATTGGTGAAGACAGTACTTAGGACCGAGGCGCTCACATCCACGTTRGCAAAGAGTATCTCGCCCATTGTCGATAGGAACTGCATCAATATCGTATCAGTGGTTGGTCTGTAGGTACGGAAGAGGTTGTTTACTAACATCTTGCTCAGTCATATCGTGCGACTCGTCGGCTCCGCGTGCAATGGCCTCAACCGGGCAGTCCCAACCTCCCTAGTTAGCTACGTCAGCTATTGTTCAACAACATCCAGAGAACCGTAAGGAGGCTTACCACCCGAGCGTTTTCTATGATTTCACGATTCAAAGCTCTCCACGTCGAAAGAAACTTGTCCACACGCTTACGGGAAGAGGTTGGGAACAAGCTGTGGATTCTCGAATCGTGACTTCTCGAGATCATGATATCGTGCACAACTTCGTCGTGTAGGGCACTGAGCTCGACCATTTGCCAGTAGAGCTGGAACTTGTCAGAAATTGAATGTCGCCTGAAGGGATAAGGGTGGACGCAACTCGATCATCAAAGGCGTCTCGATAGAGATGAACCAATAAAAGTCGGAACACGAGAAACTTGAACGCAGTTCTAGTATCGATTTTCGAAGAAGACGACCGACTGAGGTCTACCAGCCAAAGATCGATCTCCCTTTCAAACCGGCCGATCTGTCGCGCAGCCTCATGGAATTTAAACGGTGGATCAAACCACTGGCGGATTTTGCGCCATTCTTCGCCGTACCGAAGGCCGACTGCAGTACCCATGAATCTGCGAAGATGGGTCAATACCAGCACATAGTAGCGCTTGAGAGGCGTGTTGCAAACTACCTTCCAAATAGCTCTCCAAAATTGAAGTTGCGAGGCTTTCCATGGGCTATAATCGTTAGTCCGAATAATGATAAGGCCTTATATACTCACCTTTGTAATCACTACGATAGAATTCGTGAATATGTTCCGGTTGACTGATCACAACCTCCTTGTATTTCCCCGATCGAAGCAAATATGGTTCGCTGCCCGCCAGAGCTTGGCCATCGTTCGATATTTGGGAACTGTGTACGAGAGAAATATCAGCATCAACACAACACGATGACGGCTTTGTGAGGTTTAGCAGACCTTTTCAGTAACTTGTATCGGAGATCCTTAATCTTTAGCTCCTTCATTGGCCTGCCATTGTCGTTGAGGAAACGCCTGGTGCCTGGGCTTAATATCTTTTTGGCGAGCAGAACTAGGATTGAGAAAATCACGGCCACTCCAAGAAACGGATGTCGCGAGGTGCCAAATTGAGCAATGGTCATGGTGTTTAGACCGATGGAGTCCATGTTCAGTGATATCATCAGGTAGCAGTCAGGTGTAGCTGTTGTGCAAAGCGATGAAAAGTACTTGAGGGAGTTGCTTCTCTGCTCAGATGCCGTTTGTATAAGAGAGCAACAACATTTCCAGATAGCATCGCAGTATACGGTAACGGGGATCACTGTCCCCGCATTGGAATAAAACAGATCGGACAAGTCCCGTTATGGCCGAAGGGGACAAACACTGGTCGGCTTTGAACGAATAAGTCCGGTCGGACCATCCTTCAAGCCAGACGGACGACACAGCAGTATGAAGATGTTACATGGCATAAACAGAAACGTCTTCCTGCGACATCCAGTTGGTTACAGTGCCAATTCCAATAAGCTTATGATCAAGCGGTTGTCAATATCCCTCCCGCACTCGAGCAACATGGCAACCACCACGGAAATGGAAGTTCTTCCCAAAGACTGTGTTCTCATAGCAGGAGGAGGTCCAGTGGGACTACTTCTCGCTCTTGTCCTGGCACGCCATGGGCAGCGTAGTGTTCTTTTAGAGCGACAACTCGAACCAACTCAGTGAGCTAAACACATCACGCCACGGCCCTGCTCGGTCCAAAACCTGACAGCAATCCCAGATACCCAAAGATGCACTTGGTTCTTGCACGAACAATGGAAATATTTCGACACTTGGGCCTCGCAGATGAGTGTCGCGCAAGAGGTACATTCGCTCGCCCGCTCGTCCTGCACTAGACCATCTGACATCTGTACAGGGGTATGTAAAGAGGAGCCTTTCACAGTCCGCTTTTCAAGCGGACTAGCAGCGGACAAGACGATCACGCAATGGGATCTTCCAAGTGTGGAAGAATTCCAGAGGCGAATCATCTCACAAAACGACGGGAAGATGCCACGCGATGCCTGGCAGCGGATTCCAAGTAACATCATGGAACCATGGCTGCGGGAAAAATGTGAGAACAGCCCGTTCGTAGACGCGCGCTACGGGTGGAAAGTCGAAGATGTTCTTGAGAGCGAAGACTCGGTTGCGGTTTCTGTCAAACATGAGGAGTCGTCAACTTTGACAAAGATGATGTGCTCGTATATTGTTGGATGCGATGGAGCTTGGAGCTCAGTACGAAAGAGTCTTGGAGTGGAGATGGAAGGAGGCCCAATGTATGTCATCACCCTATCCAGCATTAGCAGCTCGCTCCGCTCACTGACCATTCTGTTGCTTCCAGGCACCGAGCTGTCGCCCTCACTCACTTCAAATCGAAAGATTTGGCGAAACTTCATAGTCAGGGTCCTTTCTGGCATACGTTTTTCCCAACCAATCCAATCGCACATAACGGCTCTGTTGGTGGAGCCATCATAGCACAGGATGGGAAGGAAACGTGGACGGTACATGATTATCTCGGATCCGACTATAACCCCGATGATGTCAAGGCCGAGAAAACCGTCGCTCGGGTCCTGGGCGGTATGGGAGCGCCGTATCCCATCACAATTGACGAAGTAACCGCAACGTCCATCTTCACTCCGACGGTCAGCCTAGCAAACGAATGGAGTGGGAAGCACCAGCGTGCTTTTCTTGCAGGCGACGCTTGTCATCAAACGATCCCTTCCGGCGGCTACGGGATGAATTTGGGACTGGCAGACGCATGGGATCTTGGATGGAAGCTTGCGGCAACACTGCAAGGTTGGGGCGGACCTGAGCTGTTGGCTTCGTACGAGACTGAGCGACGCCCCGTTGCAGCATTGATGCAAAAGTGGAGCAAGATCCATATGATGAAGCTTCTTGGTCTCTCAACTGCTGTGGAGCTCGATGCAGAATTGATCAACAGTCTGGATGAGCGTGGCGCCAGCTTACGAAGCCGCATCGACAAATACATCCAGGACAACGATGACCACAACCAAAGTTTTGGCGTGGAGATGGGTTACCAATACGAGTCGAATGTATTGATTGTGGACGAAGGGTCCCAGACGGCTCCCGCATTCGATTCGCGGAATTACACCCCCACGACATTTCCTGGATACAGAGTACCTCACGTATTCCTCTCGGATGGCACCGCAATATTCGATCACTTTGGAATTGGTTTCACGCTGATCGTCTTCTCGGAAAAGTCACAATCTCCTCGCGAGATTATCGACTTTGAGAATGCAGCAAAGCAACAGAATGTCCCACTAGAGATTGTCGTTCTTGTAGGTGAAGAGCACGCGCGAAGGATTTGGGACGCATGTCTCGTACTGGTACGTCYAGATGGTGTTTCGGCATGGCAATCGAAAACATTCGACCGGAGTTTCAATGCCTGCCAGATCCTGCAGCAAGCAATAGGGTACAAGGGCCGGTGAGATTGAAGACTGCCGGATGCCCTTGTAGTGAATCGACGAAAATGCTCGTAAACGGATAGCGACAGGCACAAAACGAAGCAGCTTTGCCCAGAGTCAAATGTCTGATCGAATGATATTTTCTCAAGGGGTCTGTCGTTGTTACAGAAGGCGCAACATGATTAAAATCTGCAGGTATGGCGGCAATATTCTTTGATGGGTATCCTGTTGAGATGAGAACCAATACTGGGGAGGATCAGACTGGCGCTAGGAGAAAAGATGACAGATCTAGGTAGTCGGTGTCCTATGGAATCATTAGCAACTTCCGACATTCAAAATACATGGGCAAAGGACGAATTGCGTACCTGAATACCAAAATCAAATCCCATAGTGCCCTCACCAAACGTGAAGCCATCCAAGATGTCTTGCGAGACACCCGTTGGTCGAAAAGACTGGAGAATTTCATAGCACTCCTTGAGACTTTCTTGTGCAGTTTTGATCACCGCCGTCTGAACTCTCTGGCCCGACTCCATAGCCCGTATCTGTGAAAGTACACCGGCAAGAAAGACATAACGTTTCAAGGTAGGATGCCCGAGCTTGATTATCTGCAGAAGCTGATCTTTGATATGTTCCAGGACTCGCATGATCGGTGCTCGCTGCGCGCGTGCCATTTCAGCTAAAGGATCAAGACAGACGCCACCAGCCGAACTTGCGCTGGTTGCGGCGTTTCCACCTGAACTATCTTCGAGTTGACTGAGCACGTGAAGGCTCAAAATGGTGATGATCTCCAGCGTGAGTGGTCCACGAAACGTGCCAGTGCTCATTATCATCAAACGAGATAGATCGTCCAGCGTGGTGGAGGGAAGTTTGATTCTTTCTGCATGTGATGCGATGATCATGGCGGATTCCAGGCAGATCTTTTGGGATATGTAGAACCGGGGCTCTTTCTGTACACGCAACATGAATGGGCGGTGAAGAACAAGTATGTAGCGACGAAGCTGCATATCTAGAAAGTCAGGGTGCATGGTTCCAGCTTGGTTCCAGTGTATTCGGCAATGTGTGGCAACGTCTCGACAGACCCTTTGAAGCTTTGTCGCGAGGTCGATTGCTTGATCGTGAGACTGTTCGCGGTGTAGGTTCTGCATCAACCGTGCGGCCTCCATGCGGAGATGTAGCGATTGACGCATGAAAATTTGGATTGAAGACTGGGTAAATTCTGTGATCGGTCTCGGCGAAGGCAAGTTTTCGCTTTCAGGACCAAAGGCCTCATCTTCAATGTTCTGGGGAATGCGGTCATCGAAATCGAGAGATGAGAGCAGAAGTGGAATCGAGGCGTTCATAGACCCATGAAGTACGAGCTCCAAGACAGTCGTCCAAAGTCGCGTGCGGAACTCGGCCTGAAATGGGGACAGGCGAAAGAGCTTGGGGTCTCGATGCAGGCCCATGGCCATGGCCATGTGGAGCAGGGAGCCCTCCGAAAGCCATGGGGAAGGTCCTGCGGACGTGACCTGGCGCGCTAGCAGTAGAAGACACGAGATCTGGATGCCATCCATATTTTTTGTGGACTTTTCCGAGGGGCCTGTCAGCCACCATTGCGCGGCCTGGATCCAGCTACGGCTTGATTGACGAAGACGCTCAATATTGGAGTCAGCGGTCTCATGCTCGCAGAACGTAAGCCCGATCGTCATTACAAGACTCAGCTTAACAGAGAAGCCTTTGTTGAGTGCAGGCGGCTGGGTCCAGTACTGTTCATACTCCTTCCAGAAGGAAGGGATGTGGAACACGCGATATATCAGCTCAAAGACTCGCAGATAATGAGCAACTAGTACATCACACATTGGCCGAGGGGGAAATTCAATCAGAATGTCGGGTACTGGGTCAACAACTTGCGGGCCTTGTTCATTCTTAATGGCCCGACGAAGTTCACGGCATTCCTGGAGGGTGCCGGCCAATTCTGCTTTTCGATCCACAAAAGACAGCTCTACGTCTTTGTCTCCAAAGTCACTGAGACTGAACTACACATACGTCAGAGCGCGGATTTTTTCAGCTGGGCGGCATCACAACTAGCGGACTCGTACCTTTTCTGCAGTGTGGAGCCAATGGCTCGATGGAAACAGCTTGACCTTTTCCTGCGTGTGACGGAGACGAGGTACCGTGACGGGAATCGTGAAGTTATGGCCGGTCATTTCAGCACCATTCCTCGCAATATATTGGCTTTCGGGTTTGCGATTCTCCAGCTGGCGCAGTCGAACATTCAACTGTTGGAAGCGTTCCTCGCTTTCAGCTACCAACCGCTGCCTCTTCGCGGTCCGATCTGGGGTTGTGGCATCAGTGGGGTCAAGGTCTTGAGAATTGCCGTCTTCTTGGTGACTATTATCGGTGGTGTCTTCACGGTAAGTACAAGCAAGTGGTAGCCTGGATATTTGACAGGCTGAGCAGGGCAATTGGAGGTCGCATCGTACTTTACGCCTCCTACACGGCTCACAGGATTGAGCCGGACGTCTAATTCTGCGAACCGGTGCTTGACCAATGGGCTGAGCCATTGCGTGCCTCGTCTTGGAACGTGTTTGGGTGTATGTAGAGGTAAAAGAGGTTTCGCGTACTTGTTCGTTTCGACGACTGCCGCTTAGTCAGGAAACCCTCATTCACTTCTTGATCGTATCGGGATTAGCGTATTACCTCGTAACATCACTCTCAAGTTAACTACCCCCTAAATCCACTATATATAGCCTCTTAAATTAGAAAACACTTAAGTAGTAGTTACGGCTCGGCGTACTACGCTAAAAGCTCGGTATACCCTTACGTACGGGTATATACTACGGCGAATAATTTTTCCGATCTATAACTAATAGCGTATAGTATAATAGTGCACTTACCTTCTAAACTAATAATTATCCTTATATCTACCTTAGTTGTTACGCGTAAAAACCTAATTAGTATAAGTATCGATACTTATCCGAAGCGAATCGTCTAAGCTAAAAGAGCTATATACTAATATCGATACCCGTATCGGTACTAATATTAGTTTTAGTACTAGTATTATTAGTAATAGCTAACCCCTTCTACTTTAGACCTACTAGTAGTTTCGAATATAAACTAACTATAGAGTAATAACTTAGTCTTTTAATATAAGCTAAAAGAGAAGATCTTATATAGTAGTATAATCCTATATATAACGAATTAAGGAATAACGAGGAGGAGTAACTAATTATTCGTAATATCGATACTAGTACTAGTCCTAGTACTAATATTCTTAAAGCTATAGGAAGATATAGTCCTAACCTCTAGTACGAGGAATGTACTTACTACTCGTTAGCTTATATATATATTCCTCCTTCCGTAATATCTAAAGATATACCCTAAGGGATATACTTATTATATTAATCTAAATAGGGTTAAATTTAAGGAGCTACTAGAGGATTAGGATATGTTTATAAGATTTACCCTACTAGTATATATAGTATCGGTTTCGGGACTAATTCTAGAACTAATACCCTCTTAGTACTAGTACTCCTTTCGTAGGAATAAAGGATACCCTAAACGATCCGTATCTCCTTTCCTCCGAGGCCTAAAGTATATTAGGTAGAAGTAGATATATACTAGAATTAAACGGTATAAGTATATGCCGGAGGAGCTTATATTAAAATTATATTAGAATATAGATATCTAATATTAGGAGGAATAAGCCCGGTAACGGTGCTTACTCGACTATAGCGAGCCTAACCGATTGCGATATAATGCTATTACTTCTCTTATAGCTATCCTTACCCGGTTTAAATAAGGTATTGCGTATAGCTAATAGCGGGAAGATTATACTCTAGTATAGTAATAGGTAGGCGAGGTATCGGTTCCCTAACCGGTATTTAAACGAGTACTAATCTAGTATAGACCCTTAATAGAGGGAATAATAGAATCGTAAGATGCCGAAATAGGGTACTAGCAACTAGATACGACGAGAACTACTTTATTTAGTATTATTATCGCGCCGCTTAGATTAACGTTAATTTACTACCTAAGCTTCTACTCGAGCTATAATAAGAGGATCGATAGCCTAATAGGCCCGTTCGGTATACTATCTACGAGAACTAAAGCACGAGATTACTAGATTATAGTATATAGTACTAGTTTAGGTACTAATATTAATACTAATACTTTTAGGCGTCTTCTATACTTACGAGAGGAAAGGCAAGTTAGTTAAGTAAGGGTATAATATAGAGTTTAATCTCCTTATACTTAAGGATCTTTCTATTCTAGAGAATTAATACGTACTATTTATATCTACTAGAACCTATTCCTATCTTCCTCTAATACCGAATCGAGTACTAGAAGTTTATATCGAGGAGATAAGGGCCTTAGTAAGCAGATCCTAGAACGGAGCCTTAACAAATAGTATTTATATCGATACTATTACCGGTTTTAATACTAATATAAGTACTAGCAACCTTCCTTAACTTAGCACTATTATAAGATTACCTCCGAGAAAAGAATATTTAATCCCTTATAGAACTCTACCCTTCTTTTATTAATAAATCCCGGATTCGAAATATAATCTAGCTTAAAAAGCTTACGATATATCCTAAGGGACTACATTTCGCTAGACTTTAGTTTTAGTACTAGAGTAAGGTACTAGCGCTATAGTATATAAGTATATATCGGGGTATTAGTTTCGGAATCGGTACTAATACTAGTTCTTATTAAGCAATATATCTAGGGGATCTACGATAACGACTTTAGCCCTATAGTTATCTGCTTCTTTAAGGCATAGGCGAAGATATTTTTAAACGCTATTATAAGGGCCGTGTAAGAGCCCTTGTAATAACAGGATTAATAGAGGTAGCTAGATTAACTAACCTTAGAGAAGGGAGTGTAATATAACCTAACTGCTTAGCGYAGGCTTAGCGCATGCATAACTCCTACGTATAGCGCACATTTAACCTACAAGAATTAGTCTTATTTCTAATCGAGTAATTACGGGTATCTAATATATTGCTACATCTTTACCCTTATAATTCTAATTCTTCTTCCTCTTTAAGGGTAGCGATCTATTAGACCCTAACGGAATAGCCCCTAGGCGCGCCGCCCGCGAAGCGACTACTCCCGAGTAGCGCTACGAAGAAGAACGCGTCGAAGAACTCCCTAACTACGGAGATATCGAAGAAGTCGCTACTATAGAGCCTATATAGCCTACTTTAGACGAAAACACGATAGATTACGGAGAAAACGAACGCGATAAGGAAGAGACGGCTAATAAGATAATCTAGCGCCTCGAAGGCGAGAAGTAGGCTCTATAGTAGTAAGAGACGATTCGCTAATTTTAGTTAGAAGTCTAACAAATAAAGCGCAATTATAACCGCGCCGACGTAGGCGTAGCTACTACTATACCCCGCTACGGAGTCGTGCCTACGCGCCTCTTATATAAGGAAGATCCGGATACTATAAGCACCTCGAATTTAAGCGTAGCGCATACGCGTAGCGGAGTAGGCGTAAGACCTAAGATAAAGGATCCTAAACTATTCTTAGAGGATTCTATTAAAGAGGCACGCGAATTCCTACGCTAACTTAAGATAATCTTCGCTAATACTACTACTAGCCTAGAGAGTAACTATAATAAGGTCCTTTATAGCGTTATATAGCTAGGAGGAGACGCCGCGGAGTCGTAGTATAACGAGCACGATATCGAGGCGCTTACGCCGAGCTATACGTAGGAGGATTTCTAATCGTTCGTGCGTAATACCGTCGGGGACCCTACGAACCGCGCGCTYAGCGTTACGCTTAAGTACGAAAGGGTTCGATAGAGCTAGGATTAAACGGTAAAGCAATTCGCCCTTAAACTAGAAGTGCTAGAGAGTTAACTAGACTACACGTAAGCGTAGCTCGTACGTTAGTTCCTCGCTAAGCTAAGACTAGCTCTCCGTTAGGAGATTATTAAGTTATACTCTATACTTATAATAAGGGTAGAGATAGTAGCGCTAGTAAGGCGCATTAAAGCAGCCGATAAAGGTACGAGCGTATAGCTTACGGGTACTAAGCGCGGCAATTATAAGTCTTAGGACTATAACCGTAGTAGTAGCAGACTATATAAGAATACCTATAATCGTAATAAGGAACGTAAACCTAAGTCTAACCGTAGTAGCGAGCAGCCTTTACGTAAGCGTAAAGAAGGCGCCTATTTAGACCTAAAGTGCTCTAACTATAGCCGCACCGGCTATGCTAATAAGATATATTAGGCTAAAGGCGGCGGCGTAGAAGGCTAAGGGCCGAGTAATACGYAGAGTAAGGTTACCGTAGTCGTTACGGAAAAAGCGAAGGACTCCGAGAAAAAGCTTAAACTCTAAGTCTAAAGCTATTAAGTAAGGTCGACATACACCTAGCGCGCTACTAGCGCGGCGTAGTCGAAACGAAGGTAGGACTAATATAGGTCGACTACCTACTAGACGATATAGCCGATATTAACGTTATATCGAGAGAGTTCGTACTTCGAGCCGGCTTACTAGCGAGAGTAGATGCGCTATTACTATCTACATCCTCCTTTACCGGAGAACTAGGTTACTACTACGGAGC